GATATGAAATTAGATCAATTTAAAAAAGAAAGAAGAAGAAAACACCAATCAGGGCTTGGTCAGCAATACAATATTTACAACACAACTTTGTTTCAATACCAATAAAAAGTTAAAGCTTTACTGAAATTTTACTATTTGTTTTTCTGGGGAAAACACTTGAAACTGCCATTTAAAGCTAATGAATCCTGAAATTTTGAGTAAAAAAATACCACCAAAAATGTCTTTGATATCAAAAAGTTTCCTTAATTAACATGTATCAATAACTTTTTCCTTCATAATTCTTCCATTATTTATTAACGAAAGATAGATTTCTTCAGTGACTTGACATGAAATATTTCATGACAATTTAGTCTAATATCTTAGACTTTGGAATCTCATTTCAGCTCACATGTCCTTGTGGATCAGGTTCATGTATTGATCCTATTAGAATATCTTTCAGACACATAACATGTACTTTTGATGGATCATTAGTGTTCCTTTCCTTAAAGAAATCCAAATGCATTTTTTGTAAAATGTGTGTTAGCTGACACAAAAAGAATGAACAATGTCGTTTTTATGTCACGGTGGCAGAGAAATGCGACTAATGACAAAGTCAAACAATGTCGTCCCCTTATTATTTCTGCATGAATAAACACATATGCCAATTCTTCTTGTAACAGCAGTTTTCACGGCTAATTAAAATGCAGGCAGACTGACAAAGGCTTACATTTAGTAGCAAAATGACCTCCTGTTGGCAAGGATATATGACTCCAGTAGCTGTTTTCTGACATGGAGACACAAACAATGACCGAGGCATGCCTCTTTGTGGTGTCGTCGCATTGTCTTGAATGCATTGGTTGCATTTCCAGGAATGCATGAAATCCAGGCTGATTGGAGCTGTCATGGGAGTTGGTAAGAGTGTAAACTTCTGTGATTGGACAGAACGAATGGATAACATCATTGTTTGCACTCTTAAATGGCGTCGAGGGACAAAGTGATTGTATTTGTGAGCATGAGATTGAGGGGTGTGTCTCAGCGGTTCACAATAAACACAATTTTGTTGTTAAGAAAATAGATCCTGTGCACCCTTGTGGCTATCAGATGACAATAACAATCCATTCTGTGAAACCAGACATGTCTTAAAAATGCTTTTTACCATGTACATGAGAGCACATGTATCAAACAGCTGAACTGTCAATATGTTGGTTAACTTTATGTAAATTAATGTAATTTAAAATAGCAAAAACTTCTATCCCTTTCCTTTGAATTTCTTTTTTCCTGTTTCAAAGAACTTTCATAAATCATTGTGGTCTACATCAACATTCACAACCGAAAGTCTGGGCATGCATGTTGGACATGAATAGATGATGAATCAACTCCTAAACACAGACCTCAGATTATAAGGGACATTGAACCCTCACAAACCGCACAGCTGTCTGTGTTGCAGATGTTTTGCACCTCATATAGTATTCCGCCTTGTGTGGAAGAGGGGGTTGGATTGAGAAGCAAGGCTTTCAGCCACGGCCATGTTTGTGAAGGGATCTCCAAACATCTGACCCGTCCACAACTCCACAGCAAAGCCTGAACTTCACCACAGAGCTGAGTTCATTTAAGGATCACGGTAAGGTCTGATTTCCCTGTTTTACTGTTTGCCTTTTTTGTTCCCACATATACACGCATTACAACATTTTTAGTCACTTTACAAAACAACACCACTTAGTTGGGGTTACGAGTTGAAGCTACTTGGACGGGTTGATAAAAAAAGTCTTGGTTGGGGGAAAAAAAATAGTTATTTTTCTCTTTGTACCATCTCAAATGTCAAAGTTACTCTTCACATGCAGTTTCTCTAATTACCTAAGAGCTCACAGGATTAAAAAATAGTTATTATTTGCGTCCACCTGAACAAGAAAATGCCACATTGATACGTTTTGGGGTTAAGTAGAGCCTTAAGGTTAATTGGAAACTCCAAATTGATCCCAGGAGTGAATATGAGTGTGTGTGGTTGTTTGTGTGGTTGTTTGTCTCTGTGTGGCCCGGCGATGGACGGGTGACCTGTCCTTCCTGGGTTTACCCCACCTCTTCACCGGTTGTCAGCTGGGATAGGCTCCAGCCCACCTTGACCCAGTTGGGAATAAGCATTATAGAAAATGGATGGATGGAATTCTGGCATGTTGTATTGGGAGGAATGTGGAAATCACACAGATATACATATGGGGGGGATTCAGTGTTATCAATGAAATCATTGTTGAACCAGGAATATAAAAACAAAATGTTACATTTTATTCACCAATTCATGATTTTTTCCTCCAAAAAAAGTATTTCAAACTCACTGACATTGACATTCTACTACAATCTTATATATTTTTTAAGGCATCCACCTATTTTCAGTGTTTATTTTTAATTTGGCAGTTTCAGTTCAGTTCTTAACAACAAACACACAACACCTGGAATCAGGTCATCGGACACACTGATGCAACGTCTGTATGTGCTTTATTTGACAGTATGTCCCATGTTCACTATGTAGGACAAAGACTTATTCAGGAGAGGGTCATCTATCACACATTCACGTGTGAGTGTGTATTTGAGTGTGTATGCCTGTGTGTGTATTGTAAGAGGATAATTCAACCACCTCGACATACTCTGTGGGGATGCAGTATCAGGTACATTCCAACAGAGGTCACTTATTTGTCTGTTGTTATTTTTTTTATTATGGAGATGGTTGAAACTGAACTTCAAAGCTGGTAACTTGTTTGCTGTTTCTCATTTGCATTTGGACCTTCAGCTTGATACTTTGCTGGTTCGGCTACGCTGACCCACATTCGGTGAAAACTCAGCCAGACACATTCACTGTTCCGCCAGTTTCAAATAACACAAAAGCAGCTGAAGCACTGCTTGGAAATTTTCAAAAAAGCAACTCCTGATGATAACTGACCCGGAGGACAAATATACAAAAAAAAGGCTGCAGATATGAAGGATAAAATGCACTCCGTGAAGAAATCAAGTGATGTTTTAGTCATTTGGCAACTAAATGATGATGATTTACAGTTTTTTTCCATATAGTACAAGGAGAATATCATATTTGAAAGTGAATATTCAATTGACAACTTTTCCACTGTAAAATTAAATGCATCAATACGAATGCATTAATAGAAATGTAATCGAGTGATTGCAGAAATCACTAATTAAAGATATAGAACTGTTAGGAAAAGATGAGGAAACTGAGTAAATGTCAACTGAAATGAGGTAAAGGTTTGGTAGAAATCTGCCGAGGATTTCGTCTGTGAGTTTGGACCACTTTTGCATTTTTGTAGCTTGACAACAACGTAGCGCACGATGTTACACACAGCACTGCGACAGATGAACTCCCTCTGTGGAAAGCAGTTCCACGTCCCTCCATCAGCAGTCCCCACACATCTGCACAGCCCCAACGCCCAGCGGAGAGGGGCCAGAGCTGCTCCTGCAGCCATATGTCAGTGGAAAAAATAATTATCCCCTCCTGATACTCCTGCTGTGTCCTCGTCAGGGGTCCAGCTCGTCCATTCCATCCTCCAATGACCTCACGCCTGCCACGATGATCAAGGGAAGTAATGATTCAACCCTCTCTCACCTTTCTCTCGTCTTCATCCTCACCCCGCGCCCAAGTTGTCTCCTCCTCAACTCATCTTGGTTTTGGGCTCTCATTAAGGGCATGACTCGGGCTTTGGGAAGCTCACTTAGCTGCTCCAACTTTCCTGTTGCCGTTGTTATGCATCATGCCGGTTGTGCAGACGAAGGAATCTCAGCATCCGAACCAGCACAGAAATAGATGTTTTCACAGGGAGGGGAAAAAGGACTCGACAGAAAAACTCAAAAAGATGCAAAAGGAAGACACAGTGTGTCCCGAAATGCTGCAGCAGACTACCTGCCTCCAGGGCCATGCCGTTCTCAAAGAAAAACACTGAAAAACAACACAAATTGAACCTACACAGTATGGATCCAACTAATAAAATGGCTACAATAATAATCAAACAAACAATAGATGAGATATACTATTCGCAAACAGTTTGGAAAGTTTGGGATCATTGGTTTAATCCATTTGGGTGAAGAGACACAGCTTCAGTGAGCCTTCAAGCTACAGATAAGTGACATGGTAAGTTATATTATTATGAATCAAGTTCAAACAAACAGTCCCTTTAGAGGACAGATACAGATACATCTTTAGAACATGTCCCATTTTATTAATTGTGAATGAAAAACTTTTTCTTCTTAATGACGATTAGTGGTTAATGGAGTTGAATGTCTATTGAAAATGGAAAATGGGCATTGTCATAAAGGGCTCCTAATTATAGGAATGATCTAATCCATGAACCACCTGAATTTATTTTTGCTCTTTTTCAGTCTGCCAGCTTTCAGAGTTCTGATCATTAAAAAAAAAAACTGGTTTGAAATATTTAGATTTACACCTAATCAGTCATTTATTATATTTTTTGTCATATCATGCTCTGTTTTTCATCATTGCTTTCAGTTCTAAAGCCTCAGCACCAACATCTGAGGACCTGCTCCTCCCATGCAGCCCTGCTCTGATCTGATGGAGTGGAACCACATTTAATCAGGGGCTGAGTCCCTGTTGTGTTTTATGTTTCTGCCGATCTTAAGCCCTCCCCCATATCACACACACACACAGACACACACATTCTCTCTCTCTCTCTCTCTCCCTGTTCTTTCCACTGACTTTACGCACCTGATCCCTGTGACCTGAATACAACGAAGACAGTGGAAATCTGCAGCTGAACTTACCCCCACTGCCCCGATTATGCCAAGATCAGCCGAATAGATTGAGTCACTCAAGTTGAAATACTTTTAAAAACATTTTTCCCACTGGATTCCTGTTTATAATCAGGCATGATTTCAAACATTATCGTTAATGGTCCTCACGGAGAGTTAGGGTAACAACAGTTTGTAATGGGACAGAGTTGTGGCAGCACACCCAACCGGCAGACGCACACTCACACGGACATATATAGAATCACGGGGACAGTCCTTCACGTGGGCTTGAGGTAGTTATATAGAGCACTGAGTCCTCCTTGCAGCACCTCCTGAATTGGCTTGAGTAGGGGGTTATGAATAATGTGCAGTCCTTTGTCCAGCGGGTGGCAGGCCAACCGCCTGAGCCTGCTCAGCAGGTACAGTTCCACCGGCACGCTTTGCAAGTCGTTGAAGTCAACATTGAGGAGTTCTAGAGACTCCAAAAAGCAGAGAGTCTTTGGCAGGGTGTGAATGCTGTTGCCCTCCACGATGAAGATCTTCAGGTTGACGAGGTCTTGGATCTGGTCGGCGATGGTCTCCAGCCGGTTGCAGGCCAGGTGGAGGAAAACCAGGCCCTTCATGCTGTAGACGCAGGTGGGGATGTGAACGATGCAGTTGTGGCTGAGGTTGAGCTTGGTCAGACTGCACATGGCCGCCAGGCTGCCCGGTAGGCCCGTGATTTGGTTGTTGGCCAGGCTGAGGACCTCCAGGCGCGTGCAGGAGCCCAGCTCGGCGGGGACCTCGCTCAGGCGGTTGCGGCAGGCGAAGAGCACCCGCAGCTTCTTGAGGAGGCCGATTTCGGGGGGGAGGCTGGACAGGTTGTTCCCCCACAAGTTGAGGACCACCAGGTTGTCCAGGGCGCCCAGAGCCGAAGGCACGGAGCACAGGCAGTTCATGGACAGGTTGAGCTTCTGCACCTCCCGGAGCTCCCACAGCTCGGTGGGCGTCTCGTCCAGCCCCCGCATGGCCAGGCTCAGCGTGCTGTAGCCAAAGTGCACCGTGGCGTGTTTGCGGATCCTCTCAGCGGCCGAGGACAGACTGGGTTGATCGTCTCTAATTGCGCTCCTTCCCCTTTCACTCACCTCGTTCATCTCCTTGTTGGAAAAACTGAGAGACTGCTTCCCCCCCATTGTCCTAGCAGTGCTAACAATTCTACCACTTATAACAGCATCCAGTTACCTCAGTTACCAGTTCCTGGAGCAATTAGACAACTGTTATATCCAGGGCTCTTGAACATCGTCAACTTTTACTGCGTGTTAGAACTCAGATGTTTAAATCCTAGGCTGGCTTTTTTCCGACCGAGCTGAGGCTGCTGCCACTGGCACTGTAGACGCTCGAGGTCTGCGTTTTTCCAAACCAAGCGCCTGTCTTACTGGATTTCATCCCGCAGCTGGTCCTGTCACTTTTCAAGTCCACAGATAGAACTCTGCTCCCCACCCACTGAAGGCAAGCGGGAGTGGGGATAGGATGCTGTACGGGCTCAATCATCTGAGGTCACTTCCATGATCCTATAGGCTAACACAGAAATAAACACGCATTGTGCCCGTGTTGAGTCTTTAATTCAATGTGATTACAGCTACCTTCTTTTGAAGAGGATTTAAAAAGATTCAGACATCTAGCATATCGCGGCTGTGTGTCCACAACGTCTCCTCACATTTGTTTTTTTACAAGTCTGACGCTTTACCCTTTGTACACGCTCATGTCTCGGCTTTAATACGGCAGCAAAACTGGCAGCCATGAAAACACAACCATATCTCAAAAGGTTAACAACTCTCAGAGGCGCCCTCAGCGCGGAAACGCTGTGGTTTAATCTCAAGGGCAAAAAGACACAGAGCATTCCAGTCGTGTTGGTGGAAAACTCTTCCCTTTTGTCGCGCCTAAAGGGAAGTATCTCTCTTCACATGAAAAAAATACATTGAAGAACATTTGCTTTTTTGAATTTGCCTTTCCCCGCAGCAACTCACACACTGAGGTAAAAAGTTCATAACGCATTGTCCCCGAAGATTTTCTATAAGCATTTCCCAACATTTGCAACTTAAAGCTCTTTGTTAAAGTCCTTTTTTTTAAATGTCAAACCAAGTTTAAAAAATGAAAACACACCAGGATTTGCACTGATCTGTGTGGATATGCTCAGTGTTTATCCAGTAGGGTCTGACGGTCGATCGGTTTTCACAAAATACATTTGGGGAATGATCTATCAGAAGGAAAACATTTATTTCTCCTCACACCTCGTCCTGACATTGAGCAGCTGTGGGTTCCACTGCACAGTTTCCCGGAACACTAAAAATGAAAAGGACTGGTCTCTCTAAAAGGAGGTATTTGTTCCCTCACATGTAGTCTTTTTTGGTCATGTGATTGACAGGGGTCCATGGTGTGCTTTTCCCCACACAACGTCAGCTAGATTAAGCTCCACTCTCCTTACAATCACGAGTAAATCGGTTAAGTGCATGGAGAAAATAGAGGGGTGGAAAAAAGTCTGAGCATATTTGTAGGTCAGGTTGAAGTGAGGATTCTTCTGACTTCTAGAATGAATATTTTGGAATAAAGGAGACCTTCAGATTGATTTGACACTATGTAAAATCAGGTGTTTGAAAATGCTCTTTGATCATCATTATTTCGCCATGACGAGTTTGAAGTATCTTTGAGGAAATGAAAATGAAAAATTTCAGGAAGATAAGCGTCTTTTAGCTGCTATACACAGAGATGGATAGATATGCTTCAGCATTGTTACAGTTAGAGTGACATTTGTGTAACATTTTGCTTGAATTTGAATTCGTCTTTAGGACACTAAGGGCAGCCTGGGAAACTCAAAGAACATCAGAAATTCAACATTTTGTATGATCCCATAAAACCTATTTGATGGGCAATTAAACATAAGAACACATTAAATGTTGAAAATGAGACATTTTCCCCGTTATGAAAATAATGGGCTCATCTTACAGCCGATGCCAGGCTGGAAACAGAAAATGGTGCTGAAGTGAAAAAGCTGGAGGAACATATTAACATTTTAATTAGTAACAGGTGTTATACAACAGTGCGGCTCCGCGCTGGAAGAATCCATGTGCTGAGCTGGCATTTGTGCAGTCCACAACATTCACAAGTGAAAAAGTAATTTGGAGCATCATGACATGCACATTGTGATTAAGAAGATTTATGACTTTTGAACTGTTAGAATTCTTTGTTCTCCAAGAATGGGACAACCATTCCATAACAAATGGCCTGTAAATGGTACCCCCAGTTGTTAACAGAAGAGGAGATGCCGCACAGTTCTAAAGATCAACCTCTCTCACTCTCACTTTCTGCAATGATTTAGCATCATTCAAATATTTTCAATTCTCAAATCAATGTGTCCTTTTACAAAACAGGTTTTTCTTATGTATTTTGAACAAGCATGTTGGATGGGTCCAACAATCCCAACAACCTGTCACACAACAGTCCCCCCTGAACATTAACGGAAGCTGTCAAAAATAAATAGATGAATAAAAGTGAGCAGAAAGAAAAGGCCGAAGAAGAGCAAAGGCGGAGACATCCGAATCTATCCTGCACATTGACCTCAGTATTCTGAATAAAGACTACGGTTTCACCTTTTTCTCCAATATTTTTATAACAATTTAGATGTTATCTGTGGACATGTCAGGGGTTAAATATGAGCCAAGCCCTCGATTCGCTTTCCCTGACCGCCTCATGGAGTCTGACCAGGGCTTGAAGCAGCCTCAGTCATCTTTCTTCTCTCAGTGCAGTAATCAAAGTGTGCGGATGACAGTTAGCAGTGATATCAGCCTCGAGGGACTCCGTGGCTGCGCTGTAAGCAAGGCTACATCAGCACTTATGAATGACAGCTTGAACCATGTGTTGGCAGAATTGGACATCGGAGCCATTGAGGCGCGTTGACCACTCAGGCAGCTGCTTGTGCAGCATGTCTCAACAAGAATCTTTTAAAGTAAATGTCAATAACTTTGCAGCAACTTAACTCTGTGCAAACACTCTCGGATTTCACACACTTCAAGAATCCTTTCGTTTGTTCGGAGATCTGCACTGCGGATCTCGTATGTGTGTGTGTGGCTCAGCTAATTTCACAAACAGCGGGGTGGCAATATCCCGCCATCCTCTATTTACATGGAAAATAACACATCAGCTGTAATGATCAAACCCCCCCCACCCCCACCCTCGATCTCCCATCTCCCATCCAATGCGTAAACACAGCTCCAAAGTGACAGCAAAAGGCTCCGAACACATGCTGTCCAACACACGGAAAAACCCTCATATGCATATCCCTATTATGGGTTAACTGTTGTATGGCAGTACCTGGAGAGAGCTGAAATGGAGGAGCAGATGGAGGGAGGGGCAGACGACTGGATGCTGCTCATTTTTGTGACTGATAGATATCATCATGACACACCTCTCTATAGAACGGTTCTGTAACACTTTGTCATCATCTAGCGAGAAGTGAATTTTCATTAAATGCTCTCTTTCTACCACCCCTCCATGCATCCTTTTTTTTTCCAAATGAATCGCCTCAGTCCGACAGCGCAACAGACGCGTGGAGACAAACGGCCTGAGATTCAAATTACAAGAAAATGGGATTTACCATTCCACTTGCATTCACACAACACCTTAATATGGAGGCCCATTAGCACCAAATGGGGATGAGTTATTCACCCTGAGAACAGTTACACTCTCCTGTCCTCAGGGTGACAAAAATGATCTCATTTGAGAAAGCTCATCTGGTTATGTGGCACAATAATGACTCTGGAAGAGCTACCTTTAGAGACTCCAGTTCAAGATATATACCATTATTACTTGTTCATTACTGTGGAGGCTTCTGGCAATGACAAATGATATATGGCCTCACTTCTGGAGAATCTGCCGTAGGTGTCTTGGTCCTGTTGAGATGTAAGGAGCACCTGCCAAGACCTGAGGCTCTTTTAAAGTCCATATGGGAGACATATTACTTCTTGGAGCCAGGGCACAAATGGAAGGATATGGTCCGTCTTCAGACAGAACACAAGACAAGATCAGGTCTTGGAGAGAAGAAATGTGCATTTTCCAGTCCTTTCCAGACGAAATTAGCACCGTGAAGTGGGAAATAGCACGAGAACAGGGGCGGATGGCGAGCCCACCGGAGCTGATAATCGTCTATTATTCAGCAGGTGCAGATGTGAATATTCACACCAGCGGACACTTTCCATTTGTGCACATGCATGCAAACCCCACAGTTAATGGAGTCTGCAGAACAGGCAGCACATTTTTTCGTCAAAAAATTGAGGATATGTCACACATTGGAGTTGCCATCTGGAAATTGGCTGCAACAGTGCTCCGCTCAAACCTCCAGGTGACACAAAGGATCTACTCAGCAATGCAAATTAGCGTGGAGGAAATTGAAGGGAGTGTCCAACAAATCTGCGTCGACACTGAAAACCGAGCCAAGAACATTTCATTTCAATGTTTCAAATGTTAATTTCTCCTCAAGATTGGACAGAGTGAAGCTGCCCCTGGCTGCTTGTGCTTCAGCGTTGAATTAATGCAGGCTTTTTTGCATAATCAAGCATTATGCATTTGAAGGCATACTGGTGTTTAAAGAGAACAAACATATTTGTGACTTCTCTGCATCTTCGTGGAATATTTTAATCTTTTCATCAACTCTGTGTTAAACACCAACTATCTATTAATCTTTTAATCTCTCTCCCCAGGCCTCATGGCAGGTATGTGTAGTTAGATCTGTGTTGAAGCAGCCAGATTCATCCTGAGATAAACTGGGACAATATGATGAATAGATGATAAAAACACCCAGGGGACGGAACTATCCGGGTTAACTCAACTGTGTAAAGATACCATTTGTAATGATGGCTGGAATGGAAGTGAGCAAAGCTAACTGGGCTGCAAAGTGACCAAATCAGTCGTGACTTTGCTGATACAGCAGATGGGAAGTACAAACCAATTGTGGCTGTGACAACAACAAGCAGAGTGATGAAGTACCGCGGAGCAGCCTTTCTGGGTCTCACCTGCTTATAGCTATAGGCTACCAAGCCTTAAGCAAAAGCATTTGAGCAATCAGCTCAAGGCCAATCATTGAGATAAACAGCCACTGGTTTGGGATGGAGATTCTACTCACAGATCGACTGAAATCCTG